TGATTGTATATTTGTGGGCGAAACGCAGCAGCCAATTGGGCACAGCAGCATCCCACAAACAGTTGTGGATTGAAAATGACCAATTTATTATTGTTTCTTTTGTTTTGGAGGGATTATTATTAGGCGTGTGGAGTAAGGAAACTTGCCCAAGGTTTCATCCTGCCTGGAATTGAACCCAGGTGTCTTGCTTGCAAGGCGAGTGCTCTAACCACTGAGCTACAGGACTCCACTTTAAACTTGTATCCTCTTGTCCGGCTGTCTAAATGCATCTGAAAGTATTGTTATGTGTCTACTTTCTCAGTCCCATTTTAAAACCTTCTATACCTTATATTAATAGTTTGAGACATCCTCCTGGTGTGAAGTGCAGTGTTATATAAATGCAAATTGTATTGCAATGAATTGTGCGTCTAAATGAGATGTCTCTTTTCAGACTAAAGAGCCCCAGCTTGTCTGATCATTACTCATAGTTCATACCTTGGGTCAATGAGACACAGAGCAACATCAGTACCTTATATAGTGTGAACCCATGTTCCCTGCTCCCTGTCACTGGGATGCTTGTTGAATGTTCTAATGTCTGGGATTGCCAGGCAGTGTCTAGCATTGCCAGGAAGTTAGCCTTTTAATTGACATTGCCTTTTGCCCAGGTCTTTTTTAAAGAGGTACAGTCTTTGTGCAAAAGTCTTCAGCTCTTGTTTGTTTTCAGACTCCATTTTCAGTCACCTCATCATCTCATGCGCGAATCGTGGGATTGCTGTGATGGAAGTGACCCTCTCTCCCCTCTTTCAAAAAGTTTGCCAAACACTTATTCCCTGAAGACAGTGCCCCTTTAAAATTGCTGCTTTGCTCGTCGCAACCGCACTTTAACCAGCTCCCGAAGTGTAAACATCCCAGGAATTATTTTTATATTGATGCATTGCGACTCAGCATTATTGCTAACGATAATAATAACAATAATAATAATCCTTGCATTTGATATAGCGCTTTTCACGTCGGGAGGATGTCCCAAAGCGCTTCACAGAACACACTGTAAAGTGAATTGACTGTATATTTGTGGGCGAACGCGGCAGCCAATTGCACACAGCAATGTCCCACAAACAATCGTAGATTGAAAATGACCAATTTATTATTGTTTTTGGACAGGAACAATGCTCCCCCCATCCCCCCCACACCCCCCGCCCCAACCACTGCCTGTGCCTCATTGCGGGTTCTGATGACTATCTGTCTTGCGTCTGCGTTGGCTGGTTTCTCGTAAGCGTGTCCGTGAGTAACCTCTCAGATAGTGGTAGGTGCTGAACTGCAATCCCTGTGGAAACAGCCCTGCGTGTGTGTACAGGCCTGCAGCCCTCACAAATCAAGACAAGCAGAAGCCCATGTGAGGGGACTGTCTGTGACTTGCCTTTTAAAGGACTGACTGTGAATGTTCATTCAGATTCACTCCTTTATTCGGGTGTGGGGTGGTGGTGTTGGGGCTGGGTGGGGGGCTCTTGTAAATCATCAGCTGCCGGGAAGTGGAGACAATGCCAGCTTGTGCGGCTGTCTTGCTGGACAGTCTGCGACTGATCAGGAATAGAAAAGATGTCCCTTTTTCTCTGGCCAGTCTCACTGTCCTAGCAGCTGTTCCTGGAATCGTCTGGTTTCAGTGTGCTTTTTCTATAAAGAAAAGACCATCAGTACGCTGGCCGGGAAATGGGAATTGCCCTAACGATGCAGCACTCCTCTCAACCCCAGCACAGTTTCGGAGTGCCAGCTTAGACTAGGAGTTCCATGAGCTGACATGGGATTTGAACCCACAATCTTCAGGCTCAGAGGCGAGAGTACTACCAACTGAAGCACGAGAGAAATATAGATGCCTGCAGAGGGTGGACACAGAGAGAAGACTGCTAGCACAGGGTGTCTGGCTGGCACCTGTTGCTGTCTCAGTGCCAGGCCATTCCTGACTCTATGGGAAAGTAGTTTGTTACCAGTCTCAGCGCAGTGTTGCTGCCCGTCTCCCAATCCTGATGAACCAAATGCCAAAAGAGCCTCGGGCAGTGAGTGAGGAGCTGCTGACACTGTGTTTTCAGTGCTCAGTGTTGTCATACCGGAGGAGACATGACTTGAAGCGAGGTTTGTAGATTAGCAGACAAAGAAAATGTTTACTCAATGAAACCTATACGCATGACTGCAAGGATCTACATCCAGGCAAAACAGGAGGATAATCACCCCGGCTGTTTGGTTTAAATCAGTCTTGGGAGTTTATTTCAATGGGGTCAAGATTAGTTATCAGGTTTAGTTATTTGCAAGGTGCCGCTGTGCCAGGTTTGGAGCGCTCATTGCAACTTCTGGTTGTGGAGTACCGAACATGATAAAGCGCTATATCAAATGCAAATATTATTATTAATTTAAGCAACAGTTGGATGCTGTGATGGGAAGTATGGTAAAGTGGATATTCTGGGGGGTTGAGATCAAATGGGCCGAAGGGTGTCCACCCAAACCCTGAGCTAACTCCCCAAAAACTAGGTGAGTTCAAGTTGGCTCACTGGAATTGCTGTGAACAAAGTCCATTTATCGATTCATATCATTGGGGATGACCCCATGCAGAGATGGCTGTATGTGGATGGAGGAGGAAGGGGGCCCATACACAGATTTCAGTGCAGGAGGGTTGGGAGAAAACACTTGTAATCACAGGACACGAAAACAGAACCGAATGAGTCTTAGTTTTTGAGGAAGAAAATAAATTAAGTGGACAAGAAATCTACAAAAGGCACGACAGCAACCGTGATGTTCTTTTAGATTGTGGGTTCAATGGTTAAGAAATTGGGAAGTGCATTGACGATCAAGAGCTGCCTGATTTCAAAACCGTGTGGCTCTTATTTTGGCTTATTAAGTGCTGTTAGTGCTTAAAAAACAACTTTTTTTTTAATTGAGATGTCAGCAAGCGAGCCTGAATGTGAGGTTGGCAAGTAACAGCGTTGCCCACTGGGATAAAGGGCACACGTGACTTGGAATCCCACTGAATATGAATTGCAATAGGACATGACCCTGGCAGGGTAGAACATGAGGACATGAGGGCATCCATTCATCTGCTGAATAGTGTAACAGTGATGATTTCATTCATAATCTCAAAACCCCTTTGTTTAATGCAGCATTAAACCACACTGCTCTCCTTCCACAGGACATACGTTGCAGTAAAAGACTAGTGTTTTACTTAATGGGGCCTTTGGGGAATTAAAATGAGGTGCAGGTGGGAAGGAAGGAAGACTGGTGGGGGAATGTGGCATGGGGGCACGCCACCTCCAAAAAGGTTTAAAGGAGCAAGATGGCATTTTTGCTGCTTTTCATTTTCCATCCAGTGAAAGATATGGGTCTGTAAACTTCGGAGAGAAAAAATATATCTCCACAGACACTCACTATATACTCTTTTCATGACCTCTACTTTTTATCTGCCTTGATTTTAGGATGAGTCTTGCGGAATCGTGGAAAATGTATTGTAATAATAATAATCTTTCCATTTGATATATCACCTGTAACATTAAAACATCACAAAGGGGCTGAACGGAAATTGCTATCAAGTGTAATTACTGTGTAATTGTAGGGAAATTTTACAGGACAGAGGAAGCCATTTGGCCCATCATGTCTCTCTGGGCTGGTCCTAGCCTCCTCACTGGAGTTATTGGTCTAATCTAACTGCCCTGCTCTTTCCCCATACCCTTTAATACTATTTTCCTCCATTATTTATCTGATTTTCTTTAAAGACATTCCCTATTCTTAGTCCTGTGTGCAAAGCCATATCTTCTACATTCCCCAGGGTTAGGGAATGTTGGTGATGGAATATTTCCTCCTTTATTATTTGAGGAAAGAGTCAGTGTGACAATCACTTCTCTTTGCTCAGAGTATCCTGTTTGTGGTGAAATCAGGATCTATGCATGTGGAGAATTAGGATCGTTATTGTTTAGAAGTGTAATAGTATTGTGTGTGTATGTGTGTGTGTGTGTGTGATAAAGAGAATGTACTTGGTGTGTTGATTGACCCAGACAGTGTTGGCTGATTGAAATGATCAGTTAATACTGCATGGTTGCACATCAATATAAGGATTATATTTAAACTGGAACATGAACTACAAAGGAGATTAGTTACAAGCCAGTTGAGAAACCAAATCCAAATCTATAGCGGAATAACAACAGGATGGAGTTCAGTCGCCAGCTGGTGAAATGTTAACACTGTTTGCATTACTTACACTGGGTGAGCGAGTGGCACTTTAAAAGGGGCCGGGACCTGAGTAATATTCCCGTGTTAGTGTGTGTTGTGTGCATGTATAGGAATGTCTATAGACCACATTCACGTTAAGAATATCTAGTTACAGTGGTGCAGTGGTATACATTGGAGCAGCCTTAGGTCATATCAGTGGCTGTGCAGTTAAGATAAAAGAAGGGTGTTAAAATTAGGATTATTTTTTGGTAACTGCAGACTCTGTAATGATATCAGATTGCATATTAGAGTCTTGTACCCTACCTACTCCCTACCCCCCATCCATTCCCTCCTCTCTCAACCTCCCACTCAATCTTTGCAAAGCACTAAGAAGGTGGCCTAATGTGAAAGGCACTCTGCAAATATAAATTGTTTTAGGATATCTGATGACAACATTGTGTGGTACAGTGTTCATCTGCAATTATACAGATACTGAACTTTACAGTAAAATCCGATAAGATCTTTGAAATAACCTGATGACATGATAAGACATTAAGTCAAATATTATTAAAGTATCCATTTATACATCAGAGTCAATGTAGGGCATCAATCATCCGTTACATGGTCATGCTTTAGGCTTTCGCTTGCAGGGTTAGTGTAAACTGTTATTCCTGTGCTTTGACTACACCAGTGCTACCATTGCTGCGAAACTCACCTCTTGTCTGACTGGTACATTGTAAAATATATTGCTAAAAACCCACTGTGAGATAATGTTGATTTTAGCCTTGTCCAACATCTTCGCTCATCTGAAGCTATTTGTTCCCCCCACACAGCATGTAAGTGCAATCGAAAGGCTTCCCAGTGTGAGTGGGACCCCATACTGTTCAGAAATACAGGAAGTGGCACTCGCTGCTTGAACTGCGCTGATAACACAGAGGGACTGCACTGTGAGAAATGCATAGCCGATCACTATCGTCAAACTCCAGGGGGGCGCTGCCTGGCCTGCGGCTGCGACAGAATGGGTAAGTTTCTTAGAGCTGGGCAATGCTCACTATTTTTTTATTCTGAGTGTATCTCATTAGGGCTTTAGTCCTGTAGGATTTAGACCGCATTACAGTAATGAACATGTGAGCACCCCTTGTGAACAAGGTGACACAAAGCATTTAGACAAGTGACACGCGATAGAGGAGAGAATACAAGAATAAACGATAGACTGTAATCATATAGCATCCTTGACACGAGGTAAACGTCTCCAAGCACTGTTACAAAATAAAATTGATTGGAAATGAAAGCGATTGCTGTTATGTAGGCAAACACAGCAGCCAACCGCCCCATAAGCAGCAGTGAAATGGGAAGGTGATTCACTTGAATTTGGGAATAAATGTGGAAATGAGGAAGGGAATGGGAAGCAGGATAACTGGGAGAAAGTCTACATTTCTTTGAAATAGCAAGGGAGGAGTGATCCCTTTAGGTCCAACTGTATGGCAAGGGAAACGGAACCTAAATTAGTTTAGGACAGCATTTAGACTGAATGGACATGACCTGAGACCTACAATGTGGCCTGAACCCTACAAGACATCTGTGATTTCTTGCAGTAAATTTATACTCAACGTAAATTAATAATAATAATAATAATCAATAAGTTGAATATTTTCTACCATGTCCCAAGTGCCTGCGTTTACCGAATTGTAATGTTCTTGTGCTTCCCGTTTCTCACAGGATCCTCAGGCAGTAGCTGTGATGATCAAGGTCGCTGTAGATGTAAAGCAGAAGGAGTGATCGGAGACAAGTGTGACAGATGCCAGCCTGGATTTTATGCATTATCAAGCAGCGGTTGCAAGTAAGTAACTTGGACTAAATGCACATGCGGTCTGAACCCTACAAGACATTTGCAATTTCATGCAGTAAATTTATATTTGTGGTATCTGTCCTACACTTTAATCTTCCCATATTTTCCTTTGTACTGCCACGCTATTTGTTAACCAGCCTGCATGGGGGTGCTTTCCTTTCTTTGTCACCTGGGCATGCATTGGATTAACTCACCACCCATTCTGTAGCAGAGCACATTGGGGCATCAAAACTCCACACATTGTCCTCCCACCCCCACTTCCAGGTGCGGTTGACTAAAACTGATGTTTTGGTAATACTAAATCTGACACAAATGGCATTACAACAACAACAACTTGCATTTACAGTCAACCCAGAATTCAACAACTTCTCAGGGGACTTGGCCAAAGTAACCTTTAATAAGGGTAAGAGTAAGGGTTCCTTGGTATGTTCTCCGTGCTGTTCCAGGGTACTTGTTAACATGGGTGGTTGCTGAATGGAGGTGGAATGAGGGACGTGTAGGCATTACCGTCTACAATAAATTCATGTCACGCCTTAGCATGTCATCAAAACGCCTCTTCAAAGGATTTACTGTACAGTGTACTTACTGTATATTTATAGGTTTGTACCTTGTCAATGTTACTGCTGTTTGGAGTGCACTTTACCATGTAATATTAAATCATGTTTCTGTGTTACCAGGCGCTGTATGTGCGACATGGCTGGAAGTAGAGACATGTGCCACTCGAAAACCGGAAAATGCAACTGCAAGTACAATGTGGAAGGAACCAACTGTAACTAGTAAGTGCTCACAGATGTAACAGGATTGAGTGAAGTACTCAGGCCCTCACATTCACTGAGTTCCACCTTACAACTATTTTCATTAGGAGGGTGAAGTGGAACAATTTCTATCAGTACCTATGTATTAGACATGGTTAAAAAATTGCCAGAGTTCCTGCTCCATTTGCTTAATGATAATTCATGCTTCCATTTAATTTAACGCTTTTTCACATCATTGAGACATCTCAAAGCGCTTCAGTGAATTGACTGTGTATTTTGTGGATGAAACATGGCAGTGGCCAAATTGTTTTGTTGAGGGATTATCACCCCCAGAAAGCGATCAGGGTTCCTACTTACCGCTAGGTAAACAGAGATGTGCGGAGTAACAAAACTTGCCTAAGGTTTCGCCCTGCCCAGGAATCCAACTCGAGTTCTCTCACTTGTGAGGCGAGTGCTCTAACCGCTAAGCTACAGGACTCCACGCTCAAGGTCTCAGCCTTAAGACTGTTGCCATAACATTTTAATTTTTGATTATTTCAAATAAGTTCAGTCTTGATTTGGAAGTGGGTTTACAGTGGTTCTCAAAGTGCTAAACTTAAGATCTCGCCACAAATATACAGTCAATTCACTTTACAGTCTATTCTGTGAAGCGCTTTGAGATGTCGAGAAGACTTAAAAAGTGCTATATCAAATGCAAGGATTATTATTATCATTATTATATCTCGTGAAGTTACTGAACAGCGACTCCACTCTGGTGCCCTCCTGTGGTCACGTAGCACAATGACAGCCGCTGCCCAGCTGGGATCTCGCAGGAACAATGACCATTCGAGCAGAGCCAAAGGCTTGGAACTGACCCAAGTCTCAGTGAGTGACTTCAGGAGAGGAGAGAATAGAAGGGAATTTTTTTCTTAAGCCCGTTGTCTGGTTCGCTTCCGCAGTTGCAAGCCAGGCCACTTCAACCTCGATGTAGAAAACCCCATGGGCTGCTCAGCGTGCTTCTGCTATGGACACTCATCGGTCTGCAAGGCAGACTCCGGGTACAGCAAAGACTGCATCACGTCCGCTTTCGGCTCAGGTATGTCAACAAGGACTGAAATGGCGATGATCTTGGAATGATCTTAAATAGTCACGGGTAAACATTTCCTAATGCGATAGTTTGATTCCATGGCTCAAGATTAAATTCTAGGGTATTGGTACGTCATCGGTTAAAATGCCTATTTATGGGGCCGGTTGTTTTATTCCCTGGGCTGGGAGTTTGTTACAAGGTGTCCAACCAGTTTTAGAATTGCTTAACCTGTTCATTGTTGCAAAGAAGTTAGAGGCTTGTGGTGGTATGGGGAAAGGGTAGGTCAAGTGGGATTGAAAGTATAGCTTGCTCTGAGAGCTGGTGCAGACTCAACGAGCCAAATGGCTGTAACTCTCTCTTATTCTAAAGAGTGTGTGGCTTACTAGCTTGTTGTTGCAAACAGATACTGAAGGGTGGAAGGCGCAGCATCGCAATGGACATGATCTCGCCCTCATGAGATCCTCATCTTCTCAAGACATTATCATTGAGGCCAAGGACCAATACCCAGTGTACTTCATCGCTCCAGGTAAGCGATAAAGAGCTTGCATTGTAAGAGCATCTCATCATGTCTGAACAATCTCAACAAGCAACAAACGTCAAATATAGCGACTGCTTTGTAGGCAATCCCCGTAGCCCATTTCACAAGATCCACAAGATTGGTTCGGATGAAGAAAGCCTTTCATCCCAACCAATCTAATTCTTCCAGAATACACACCCTACTGTTGCCCCATTACCGCATCAAGCTGCTTTTTAAACGCACACGCAAGATCCCGCGAATAGCCAAGAGATGAACAATTAATAAATATCTGAAGCATTGGTGACTGGTGAGTGCATCCCGAAGCATTGTTCTGGTGGGTAGGGAGGGGAAAGATCTCCAGTCAAAGAGGAAGGTATTGAGATGGATCTTGAATTAGTTGAGGGAAGGGGCCGAGTTGGATGGAGTGCCAGTGAGTGAGGACAGTTTGGCTGAAAGTCCAACCGCTGATGGTGGTTGGTTAGGGTGGGGACGTGAAGCAGGCTTATTGTAATTATACAATTATTATTAAATGATTATTTTAATAAAATGTTGGGTCAAGCAGGCTTGGAAACCTGAGCAGTCTTCTCCTTGTCTGCTCTTGTTATGTTTGTAAAGACAAAATGTTGTCCACTTTTAAGGACAATCGTGAAAGAGTCCTCACTGACTTTAAATGATGTGGGAACCCAAGCAATGTTCCTCACCACAGGTTGCTTTTACTGTGTTTTTCAGCCAAGTTTACAGGGCATCAGGTGTTGAGTTATGGCCAAAACCTCTCCTTCACATTCTACGTGGAAAGAAACGAACCCTACCCGTCGGTGGAGGATCTGATCCTGGAAGGAGAAACCCAGACACTGAATGCCCCCATCACAGCGCAAAATAACCCTCTCCCCACCACCAAGAAACAGACCTACAACTTCAGGTAACGACAACAGAGATTCCATCACTGTTCTCCAGTTTTGGAGGCTGAGGAATGGGAGAGGCAGGGAACGAGGGAAAGGGAGAAGGGATGAAGGGACCCTCCTAAATCAAACACAGTTCCAATACAGTTTCTGTGAGCTATAAATTTCTATGGTTCTATTTAGCAAATGCAGAAATTTTCTGCGCAGTGTCCATGTGTGTGAGCCACTTGTGTTTTTTTTAAAGTGCCACCTTTTATTAAGTTAACCCCAGGAGTGTGGCCAAGTGTGAGGCTGACATCTCAGATGCATGTCCTGCTTGTTCGCCGAATGGAAGCATTCATCCCAAAGCGCATTCTGTCACAAAGCCTGTTCAATAGCCACTGCTTTGCTTTACAGCATATTATTAGTCCATTTTATTGCAGGGTTTTAGGAATGGATTAAACAGCTTAATTTACTGCTCACATTCATCCATCCCGTTCCTGGCACAATGGGATGAATAAATGTGGTACAACATGACAAGAATTTCCCATTCTTGATGGTTTCCTTTCATTTTCACCGCATGTCTTGGGTTGAGCATGGGTCTGAACAGATAAACGGAGATTTGTCTCCCAAGCCAATGGTTCAGCTGGTTATTTCAGAGTATAGGCTGGTGTTATGGCATCCAATAAAGTACAGTGGATCCCAGCATTGCTTTGAGTTAGCTGATCTTCCCTGAGGTGGTGTCAGAGGCACCACTACTGGAATTAGTATCCCTGTACAGGGGAGGAGGAAAGCAAATCATTGAGGGTGCAAATCTTGATCCCTGGTCTGGTGGACGTACACTTATGTATGTAAATGCTGTGGGAGGATACACTCTGTCTCTCTTGATAGTCTCAATAGTCAATAGTCCAACCAATCTTCAAACATGTTGAAAGGTCCCTTGGGGATGTCTAGGAGATTCTCAGTTGCTTACATTGGCACGAGTTGGTCCATTCAGCAGAGGTAAGATAAGGGAAAATAAAGGAGAGGGGGGAATGCAATACAGATTCAGGTTTATGTAGGTTTATATGTGAGTGTCGTGGCCCAACCTGAGCAGCTGAGAGTGGCGTTTCCTCACCTTTGCTTCCAAACCATAAATATATTGCAGCAGTTGTGCAGTCGGCTGCCAGAACAACAATTACAACAATGGATTATCCCGGGTACATATTAAACTAAAGCAATAATTACAGCAGTGCTTCTTTTATAAATGCCAGAGTGTCCTGTGCAGATGCTTTGAGATCGAGCCTCTCTGTAGATTCCAGCCCTCGCTATGTCCTTTCTGTCCTATTGATTGAACTACACTATCAATGAAACACTCGCACGACTGATTCTACAACAATTTCCAGTAAACGTGTTGCAAATCATTCAATAATCATGATTAGAGCTTTAGCAATTGGTTGACGGGGATACCTGAGCTTCTGAATAAGGCTGAATAAACTCTGGACGTGTGGAGTATTTATTGTATTGAAGAGGAAATTTTGATGAGCCTTTGGCCGAGGATCCTCTCTAGTGAACCCACACTGGACACATTGGCGTCAGCATAGTACTTGGGCTGTGTCTGAGCATTGAACTCCTTAAAAACCAATGACTCCAGGCAACCTCCTAGACAATATACTGGCCAGACTTCAGCAAAGACAGGAATTCTTATTGATCCCAAAGGCTTACCCCTCAACACGCTGTATAGTGGGATGTCTGAAAAGAGGCTCTTTAGAGTATCTAGTTTTGCTAATCCATAGAGCTTAGGGCCACCTCTCCCTCCTCCTTCTCCCATATTCAGCATCCAACCCCACAGTTATGCAGGGCTCCGAAAAGCTATCCTGTGTGAAGCGTCCTATGTAAGTGCATGTTGTTATTTTTGTATCAGTGATATTTACCCACTAAAGGTGCGGGTGAAAATTCAATGATTCTCCTCTGTTTTCCAGGCTCCATGAGGCGTTGATGTATGGATGGAAGCCTTTTCTCACATCCAAAGACTTCCAGAGGGTTCTCGCCGGTCTCAAGGCCATCAAGATCCGAGGTTCATATAAGCCACAGAGTAAGTGTGGCCCAAAGCTCAGTCTGATCAGTCCCCTTGGCTGGAATGATAATCTCCCCTGAGGAATTGACCCCTCTGCTCAACAACAACTCCTCTGGTCGCGCTTAAACTGCCTCAGAAACCCAGTACTATTACTCCAGGACAGTAGCTATTGTTTCTGTTGGGAGTTAAACATAAATGAAACAGTGGGCAAAATATAGCACGTTCTTATTGGTGTGACTGAATCCCACCCAGTCCTAACCTACAAGATTGTTTGGTCTTTAGGTTTAAGACCTAAAGTGCAGGATTTAAGTGCAAGATAGTGGAAGTTTCCTTAAATTCTGTCTTAAGTTTGGAAGCCGGTTTCTCTTTAAGACCTGTGGAAATCCTGATTTCTGAATTGAGGCTGGAATTAAAGAATTTTCCACAATCCTGGGCGAGTTTATACAGTTAAGACTTTGCTTTGTTGGTCAACCGCATGACCGATACATGGAGACCCATCACCGTGGTTGAGAGTGAGAGTTTCATGCGTGGGCACCTTCACGTGGAAATTCCTGTGTCTGTAATGGAAATTCCCATGTTCAGAATGGGAAACGGGAAAGAACACATTTGCAGGCCTCGAACCTTTTCGCTTCGGTTTCAACCATTGACCTGCAGCAACACATGTTCAACAACAACAGCAAAATTACATTTGTATAGCGCCTTTCACGTCGGGAGGATGTCCCAAGGCACTGGACAGTGTACAGCATTTCAGACCCGAGTTGGGGTTAGGGGGCGGGAAGGAGGGGAATGTAATGTAATGTAAGTAACCCCGATGTCTTGCACCGACAGGCCGTGGACACCTGGACGATGTAGTTCTTTACACAGCCCGGCCTGGTGTTGGCCAGCGTCCTGCCGAGTGGGTGGAGAGATGCACTTGCCCGACCGGCTATGAGGGAGATTCTGCGAGCAATGTGCGACCGGCTACACCAGGCACCAGCCCGAGCTGGGACCGTACAGTGAGTGCGCTCCATGCAATTGCAACGGCCACAGTAACGACTGTGATCCAGAAACAGGTGAGTTATCTAATCGAAGGGGAGGCACATTCGGTACCACTGATATGGGTTTGTGATGGGTACATGTGGGGGACGTAGAGGGAGAAAGCATAGGGGGAGAAAGAAAGATTTAAGTCTATCTACTGCCTGAGACTGGTTGAAACCATTGCAACATATCCTTAAAGGGGTTGAAACTAAACTAAGGAACTGAGGAGGGAGGATTTATGGTTTGGCTGCTCTAGGGAACATCACAAGTTCTTGAGGTGTTCATCGAGTTGGATTTCAGGCAGGATATGGTATCAGAGCGATGCACAGTTGAGGTGTTACAGGCTGAGAAAGGGAGAAGAGGGAGTGGGATGGAGACCCATAGGTGCGGTTGAGGAGAAAGTTCGGTCTTAAATTGGGATTTAAAAATAGATAAAGAGGGGGCGAGGTGGAGGGATTGAGGCAGGGAATTTCAGAGATCAAGGGCGTGGTGGCTAAAGGCACGGCCACCGATAGTGGTGCGGAAGGGACCGGGGTGCATGGCAGACCTGTTAGCTGAGGTGGGGGGACGCAAGGAAGTGATGAGATTTGCATCAAGGTTGTTTCCTGGGCAGTTTATGGCATTCAATCCCTCTCTCAGCCCCAGTGCTCCTGTGAGGATGGTTTCTTTGCCTTTAATTAATGAGATGTTGGTCCACATTTTTCTGTTAGGTTCCTGCTACCCCAGCGACGTTGCCCCAGTTACCTGCCCAGATGGTTACTACACTGATCCAGACAACCTCAGTAGCTGTGTCAAGTGCCCCTGCCCCAGCAGAGTGGGTTGCACAGTGTCCCCGGCCACCAGAGATGTGGTGTGTATGGGCTGCCCCCCAAAAACCATGGGTGAGTCTCTTTAGTCCACGTTCTCAGGATTAACCGGTGCCCTGCAATTAGGGTTGAGAGTAGCTCTGCAGGACGTTTCTACACAAAAAAGGATCCAGCGCACTCTGTGGTCTAATACCAGCCAATTAGTTAATTGCTGTTTTGGTGCAGTCTGCGATTCTCTTCAGATAAGCGGTTCTTTCTATACGTACAGTGTACAGGGACGGGCTTGCCAATAACTAAACAACTTGCATTGAATATAAGAATTTGCCTGGCAAAAGATGACCGAGGTCTATCTAGTTCGCCTTCCACCAGCCTGGTAGTCGCTTGACATGTCGGATCCCAAATTATATACCGTATCCCGAGATATTATTTCTTATTCTATAGCACCCTTCCCGCAGTGAAGAAGTTGCAAATCAGGTCACAGGATCACAAGATCCCTGTTGGATGAAGAAGGTCCTTTGCTTTGACCTCTCCCTTCTAGAAACCCACCCTCCTGACTTCCCATCCCAACACCAAGCTTTTCTTTAAACGAGTTCAGAATCTTGGCCTCAACCATTCTTCCTGACAATTCGTCAATTACCCTCTGGGTAAAGAAATAGCTCCTGGTGTCTGTCCTGAAATTGTTCCTTTGCAACTCTAAACCTATGTATTTTTGTTCTACTGTCTGGGTGATTCTGAACGCATTGTTCTGGGTTTACTTTCTCAATCCTATTTAAAATTATACTCGCCTCTACAAAGCCCCCTCTGTTGTTTGACAAGCATTCCCTTCTTGAATGTACTTTAACAATGTGGGGAACGTGCATAATTTCTGCTCCTTCCCCCCCCACCCCCTCCCAGGCTCGCGGTGTGAGATGTGCGAGGAAGGATACTTTGGCAAACCGCTGGCGGGGAGACCCTGCCAGCCCTGCATGTGCAACGGCAACACCGACCCCAATTCCGTGGGCAACTGTGACCAGGACACCGGCGAGTGCCTGAAATGCCTGTACGGCACCACCGGGCCCCATTGCGAGAGGTGCAAAGAGGGATTCCTTGGAAACGCGCTCAATCCGCAGCCATCTGAAAAGTGCAAATGTAAGAATAAAAGAAAGAAATAATCTGTGCATTTAACGCAGCACCTGATCGTGTTATTGAGACATCCCAAAGCGCTTCACGGAATATAAAGTAAAGTGAGTTGACTGTATATTTTGTGGGCGAAACGCAGCAGCCAATTGTTAACCCTGGAAAGCGACCCACCAATCTTCAAATGGCCAGGTTCGTGCTTACTGCTTGGTAAACAGAGACAAGTGGAGTAAGGAAACTCGCCTAAGATTTCGTCCCACCTGAGAATCGAACCCGAGTCCTCTCACTTGCGAGCAAGTGCTCTAACCAATACACTACAGGACTCCACAAATGGATAAAAGGAGCAGACGTTCAATAAAAATTTGTGTGTGTTTTTTTTTGCAGTGTGCCGTTGTGACCCAAGAGGTTCCTGGTCCTCACAATGCAGGAGTGATGGCACATGTGATTGCAAGCCAGGAGTGTTTGGGCCTCAGTGTGACCGGTGTGCAGGGGATAGATACTACAATAGCACCACGGGCTGCCAGGAATGTCCCAGCTGTTACCAGGCGGTGCTGAACAAGGTAATAATAATGCTAATATTATTAATAATACTCCACAACTGTTTGTGGGACACTGCTGTGCATAATTGGCTGCTGCATTTCGCCCACAAAATATACAGTCAAGTCACTTTACAGTCTATCTGGTGAAGCGCTTTGAAACGTCTCAATGACGTGATGAGGTGCTATATCAAACTCAAGTATTTTTATTATTATTACTATTATTATGTGGCACTTCAACCCCAACCATCTGACTGCGAGGCGAGAGTGCTAATACCTGAGGCAGGCTGACACATGTGCATTGCCGTAACAATAATAACCTTTCTTGTTTAGGTGGCAAAACACCAGACCACAGTGAGCGAGCTGGAAATCCTCATCTCAAAGGTCAACAGGGATCCAGACTCGGTCGCTGACAAGGACTTTGAGGAGAGGTTGAGGAAGACATTGCGAGGAGTGTCTGAAATGGTGGTAGAAGCCAGAACCGTCAAAGGTGAGACTCCTGCACGAGGGGAAACAAGCGTTTTAGAAGAACTTTTCGAAGAACTTTGCAAAACCTATAGAGCAGCAGTGATCAATCTTTATGGTCGGCCAATTAAGTACATTTTCTTGATTGAATATTTATTGATTGATGCCATTACTCAAGAAATGTTCAATCAAGAAAAGGCTGAAAACGCACGACCGATCAAACATGGACTTACCTAGAGTCGTGCAAGTGTTCACTTCTTGATGACCCCGCGGACCAGAAGAGAAACAGGAGCTAAATGAATCACTTGAAGGTGTGCTGGTGGTGGCGGGTGGGTGGAGGTTGCTTTTAAAGGGGCAGTGTGCTTAAAAATGTGGTTGTTCGGAAAATGGCACCTCTCATGGGGAAAAAAAAGTTCAGTTTGACCTATGTGGGTTTGCCCTTACACCCAGAGTGCTGCTGTTTTCCCAGCCAAAGCTGTTATCCTTTAAAAGCAATCCCCTTCCATTCCCACCCACCCCACCCCTGCACAGCTTCACAAACTGTGGCTGTAAATGCCCCAGTAAAGGTACCTCAACGGGGCAAAGAGCCTGATTCATGTCCTGTCACATCATGGGTGTCTGTGGTTCCTTTGCAGTGGACGATGAGAAAAACGTCAGATCCCTGAACACCATCAACCGACAGCTGAGCAGCAACACCGCACGCCTGGATGCTGTCAAGAGAACCGTCGACGAGACCAGAAGGTTGTCGGCAACGTATGATGACCAAGTGCGCAGGACAGACCAGCAGCTTAACAAAATCAGGACTGAGATCCAGAAAGCTAGGACAGAAATGACACGCATAGTAAGTCAGCACAAATCCGTAAGAGGTTCATCTCCACTGATCGAAATATTACTTTAAGGACAGATATCCAGTCAAAGGCATCTTCTTTGTCTCCGTAGAGGTTCGTCCCCTTCCTCTCCTCAGAGGCTCAAATATTTCTAAGTTGGCTACCATTTTTTATACCCTTTTTCGCCAGCCATCTGTTTTCTATCTCCTTTCTTCTCATTACTTCTTTCTCTAATTGTCAGTTCTAAAACTCTCTCTTTTCCCCGGCATTCTTTCCCTATATTTAAGTTGTTTTCCCTTGTACCAACTAGTGGTACCTTCTGTAAAAGACCAATACTCCCTCCTATTCCATCTTATCTAGCCCGACCAGACCACCTAACTCCATGTCCTTGAAGTTTCAGTAATTCATTGTGCTCCTTTCTGATTCTGTCCATGTGACCTGCTGATCTCAAGCTTTTCCTCAGTTTCAATTGCTAATTTTGTATACCTGCCCACACTGTTGGCTTCTCATCCATTCTCCTGGTCCAATTATCCCAGGTTCACATACCCTTGTAAGCGCAGATGGCCTACCATTCATTCTCCTGATCCAGCTATCCTCATCTTCCCTGGCTATGGGTCGCATTCCAGTGTACTCCTGCCTAGCTCGGTGTCTCTTTACTAGGACTGTGTGTGTGGGTGTGTGTATGTGTTGTGTGTATGTGATTCATGCCACATGGCAGTTTTTATTTCTTTAATTCATTCTATTCAATTCATCTATCCATTACATGATCAATGCTAATGATTCTTATACTATAATCCCAACTATTTACATTATTAGAAAAAAAAAGGAATTTCTCCGGGTGTCCTGGCCAGCAATTAAAAAAGTGGTCATTCACTTCATGGCCGTGTATGACACATTGCTGTAAGCCTACAAATACACGCGATACTCTTTATAGTAAACCCTGTGAAGCCCTTTGTGAGATCTTCGTAACATGAAATTATTATCATTAATAGCGTGAACCTCGACAATCCACAGGAGACCAACTTGCCTTTAAAATTAAGATTGTGTAGAATTATGGAAAATTTGAATGAAAACTATTACCTTTCCTAAAATTAATATCAAGTGGATCTCTGTGCGTATGAACAGTTGCTAACTACAATGAAATGCACTTATTCTTTCCTACAGCCGACATTGCCTGATAATCCAAGAGGAGACAGCAACTTGGTGAGCCTGGCAGATGAGGCCCGTAGACTAGCAGACGAGTAAGTTCAGTCTTTGTACCTACAAATGGGTCTTTTATAGTCTTATCCATTCCTCTCCTCCCGCATGACCAGGTTACTTTTCATGATTTCCAAGTTGGATATTAACATTCTCTCTATTTTTCTGTCTCTCTTTGTTTACTCAGGCACAAGAGAGACGCAGATAACATCGAAAGTCTCTCCGAGAGCGCCAACGACCTGTCTTCCAGTGCCTTGCAGCTGATTCGCGAAGTGCTAGACAATGATAAGAAAGTCACACAATCCATTGACCGGCTGGAGCAGCAGTAAGTTCTGTTGAGATTTGACTTTCGCCATTTGTTCCTGTGCTTGTTCAAACCTCAAATGTCAGCACCTGGCAGAACAGGAATCAGTCAATGACAAGGACATTGGAGAAAGACCAAAGTATTCTTAGGAACAGGGAAAGGCTATTAAACCCAACAATGGGGTCTCAGTTACCTATCGCCTGCACTCTGTCTCAATACTTTATCTGCGCAGAGAAGCATCTATAGAAAGTTTGCAGCTATTAGATGGTCCACTCACCTCATAATGACCATTCTCTCCATGCTTGGAGAGACAGCAACTTGCACTTATTTAGCGCCTTTCACCTTAGAGAATGTCTCAAAGTCCTTAACTGCTGTGAAGTGCTCTGAGATGCTAGCAGTCTGAAGGGCGCTGTATAAATGCAAGTTGTTATTGTTGTTGTTGAATCGTTCAGTAGTTTGGAAATGCTGATCATCACCGATTCCCAAGAATTGTCAGTTTTCAACTAAAGATCAATTCAATTTTTTTAAAATAAAGTGCTCAACGGCCTACCACATTTCGGCCACAAAATGTACAGTCAATCCTCTTTACAAGAAAGTTTGTGAAGCGCTTTGAGATGTCTCAATGATGTGATAAGGTGCTATATCAAATGCAAGGATTATTAAGGATTATATCAATGGAGCGGGGGGTAGGAATAGATTAATGGGATTGGGTTGGGACTGTAGCTTCACATGACTGGGGATCTGGCTTTGAATCCAGTCCAGACAAAAGACAAGAGTAGGATATCGTACTCAACACCAGCTGTTTGCAGAGTACAATGATTTGACAATTTGCAATCAGTGAAAGTTGGCATTTCATAACTCGCCAGGCTCTCCAATCTCCTTTCATAAAAAAGTTATCATCTGCCTTTTTAGGTGTCTGTTTCACTAACCATTTTTGCTTTCCCAGGTTCAAGGAGAACAACGACATGGTAAAAGATCTTGAAGAACAAGCTGACAGGATAAACACCAGATCACAGAAGTCTAGTGATAGAGCCTCACAGATCTTTAATGAGCTGAACAACTTGCCTTCGATTGATATAAACGCCCTGACTGTAAGTATTGTGTGCATTGCATGGCAGGTCTGTGTGTTCAGGTGGGCGGGTGGGGGAGCAATACATTCAGTGAGCCTCAATAGGTCATGGAACGTAGGGAGCAGATGGAGACAATGACCTTTTCCTAAGAATATGTTGTTATACACCAACTCCTTTGGGGAATTTTTGATCAACAATTGCACTCACATACACTGCACGTCACAGTCATGCTACACTCCAATGCAGTGTTGTCCTTCGCTCGCGACATAAAAACCAAGGTCATGCCTGCCTGTCCAGGTGATGTTAAAGATCCCATGGCGCTATTCGAAGTGAGAGTTCCTCACAATGTCCTGACCAACAGTTCTATCAAATTAAACTGGTCACTCACTCCACGGCTGTTTGTGGGACTTTGCTGCGTGCAAATTGGATGCCTGCCACGTTCTCCCACAAAATTCATGCAGTGAGTGATTCCTTTTTGCAATTGATCCTGTGCAGCGCTTTGAGATCATCTCAATGTTGTGATAAGGCGCTATATCAATTGCGAGGATTATTATTATTACACAAATCTTGTGACGTGCTTTGAGATGCCTTGACAACATTGGAAGCGCTGTATCAAATGCCATCATTATTTGAATATTTACTGACCCAACTCAATGTATCCTACATCTAGGTGGAAATGGGTATTTTATCGTTTTACTTTCTGAGAACTTTTAGATAAATCAAATGTTTTTTAAAAAAATTATTTAGAAAGAAATACGCGAGAGGAAAAAAAGCAAATGAAAAGTTTCTTTTTTTTTTCTCTTTCCCCCCTCGCTCTCTCTTCCAGGAAAATGCAAATAGGCTGGAGATCAAAGAAACCGGCATTGAGCTTGATCTTAACAGAAAGATTGACGACTACGAGAGGCGGCAGAGTAAATTGAATGAATATCAGGACGACGTCAGAAAACTTTTAGAAAAAGGAAAAATTGATCAGAAGGTGAGGTTTTTCTTCAGATAGTGCAGATGCATGCATTCAAGGGGGATCTAAACCTTCACACGAAGAAGGGGAATTGAAGGGTATGGGAGGAAGTAAAGAATGGGTGAAGAATCGTTAGGAGTATAAATACTGGCAGGGACTGGTTGGGCCAAGTGGCCTGTTTCCATGTTGTACACTCTTTGTAATCTTTGTGATATTGTTATTATCACTTTACAATATATTCTGTGAAGCGTCTTGAGACATCTCAACGACGTGATAAGGCGCTAAATCAAATGCAAGGATTATTATTACTACTATATTATTATTACAATATTATATTATTATCACAGCATATTCTGTGATGTGCTTTGAAACATCTCAACGACGCGATAAGGCGTAATATCAAATACAAGGATGATGATTATTATTATTATTATTATTACAATAATGTGACGGGCTCTGTGCTTTGCAGACTGCTGATGTGCTATTGGCCCGTGCCAAGGCTGCCCGTGACCTGGCTGATGCAGCGGTCAGAAATGGGGCAACTACCCTGGAAGAAGTCAATCGGCTCCTAAACAACTTGAAAGGTTTGTTGTTGATATTGTTGTTTTTGTTATTGATGTTGTTCTTGGCTTTTGCATTTTCCCAATAACATGGTTGAAGGCCTTGCTGTTGCTTGCCATTGGACAGCTAGTTGGTGAATGGAAGCTAAGTGAGTGGTTACTGTTATCGACAAGTGCCACTGCAATTGATAACGGACTGAGTTGTACACTGTTTGTGGAAGGAGCGGGATCCGTGGACTGAATGGCCTGTCCTCGTTCAATGCTTAATTTTGTTAAGTCTCTGGTGGCTGAAGTGAGGTGCCAGTGAGAAGCTACTTTGAGCTGGAGTGTAATGTGCGATGATGTTTAACACTATTGCTTATGGCGACTTGTGATGTGTCACCCTGACCCACAAGAATTACACAGTCTACCTATGGGGGTCAGGGTGATGCCATACCACGTTTTGGCTGGAGCCACTGTTAACTCCTGTACTGAGTGACAGACAGACTGACCCCTGTAAACTGACTGACTGACTGAACCCTGTAACTGAGTAAAGAAAGTATTGGTTATTTAATCACACCATTATCCTGATTAACTTTATTTAGACTCATCAGTTGAGGCATTGAATTATTTTACTTAGAAAGATCAGGCTTGCTCTAACAGCTTGTGTGGTTGCATTGCTGTTGCAGATTTTAACGGACGGGTGCTGAATAACCAGACAGCTGCTGAAGATGCCTTAAGTAAAATCCCTGAGATTAGCAGAACCATCGACCAAGCCAACTCCAAGACCAAGCAGGCAGAGGACAACCTGGGCAATGCAGTGAATACTGCCAATGAAGCTAAGAAGAAAGCCAGAAAGGCAGATGGCATTGCTGATGATGTTCTGAAGGTACAATCACATTTTTGTTATTGATTTGCAACTCAGATGTTCACTAGATCAGTTCAGGTGACGAAGGCCCTTCAGCCCATTCCTTGCCAGGTATTTCTGAATAGAATTAACATCAGGAGCGTGACTGTATAATGCAAATTTTCATTTATATTGAGTCATTTACGTCGGAAGGATGGGCTGGGCACCCAAGCTGGGTGTGGGAGCTAACGTGGAGTGGGAAGTTGAAAGATAACTGAAGACATGGTCAAAGAGGAAGGTCTGAGACAGACTTTGAAAGAGGTGAGGGAGAGGGTGAAAGCCCAACTGTCTATCGTGGGGTGGTTAGGGCGGGGCACAGGAAGAAACCAAATAGGCACCGATCGGGTCAAGGAATTAGCTTGCTGCTCTTCTGCACTCTCAGGAACAGACACAGAAGACTGATGGATATGCAATAGTACGTTTTAGCTCCTCACACTGAGGAGCAATCGATGTGATCTTAAAACATGACCTTATGTTCCTATTTCACTCCCTCTCACCAGGATGCTGTCAAGGCTTTAGATGACACGACTAGGGCTCTGAATGATGTCAATTCACTGGCAAAAGACATGGTTGACTTGAAAGATCAGTTAAAGGACATAGAGACCAGCGTGGGGGAAAAGCGGAAATTAGTGGATGGTGATGCAAAGAATGCCAACATGGTGAGATCTTTTACATTGATGCTACCTGCATGAATTACAGGAATGTTAGAGTTGGGGAGCATGTTTCCTTATCCTCCTTCTCTCCGATCCTCTGTTGATATTTTGGGGCGCTAAGCCATTGAGCAACTGGTCTCAGACAAAGCGAGAGAGAGAGAGAGATGATGGCAAAACTAGCAGATGTTCATTTATTTGTGTGTTGCAACAATAAACACCTGTGAAAGAAATTTTTATGCGAGAGAGAAGAGTGGTAAACATCAAATAGCAATGGGATCTCTTGAAGGAAAGAACATTGACTTATTATTCTGTCCAAGTCTTAAATGGACAAATGACTCACTTCTGGGACCAGCTCTGTTTGTCCTAATGGTAGCTGGACTGGGACCTTGGTAAATTGCACTGGAAGCTTTAACAGATTGTAAATCTTGAAGCACATAACAATGTCGGAGCTTGACACTGAGCCAGGGAGACAAGGGAGGTGACCGAAGGTACGGTCAAAGAGGAAGGCCTTCAGGTGTGATCTGAAGATAGGAGGGGGCAAGGTGGAGGGATTGAGGCAGAAAGGCCCAGAGTCTCGGGACTTAGTGGCAACAAAAAAACCCACAAGAGTTGGGGGAGGTAAGTGGGAAAGATGACCAAACAGGCAGTCGATGAGGTAAGATTTGAGGTGGGTTTTGAAAGAGGGTGGGAGGGGGTGGCGAGTCAGAGCAATGAAAACTAGGAAAAATGATTGAGAAATTCTGTGCTCATTTCAATTCTAATACACAAGGGAAGGAGCGAGAAGGGAAGAAGGATGGTTCTGCAAGAGACTTGGAACATTCCCATTGTATCACTTTGTCTTGCGTTTACCCCATGGTTTGTGTTTGAATTGTAGACCACAGAAGCCATAGATAAAGCAGTCGATAACACAGCCAACGCAAAGGATGCTGTGAGCAAAGCGACAGATATGATAAACCAGATGCTGGAAAACTTGGGTAAGTAGGGCTTTGATCTTAGCAAGTCTGAAAATGTAAAGATTAAAGATTGTCTCGTGCACATCAACTGCTTAGACACTATTACATGAATGAAAGGGGCACCAGATCAGATGATTCATTACAACCTGGGCACCCCTGCCAGGAACCTGGCCAGTTAACATTATGAGATATGATTAGATAAGCCACGACTTTTCATCACTGAATAAAGACATTTCGGGGAGGAATTTATAAATGCTACAGAAAATGAGAAAGTAAAGCTAAAATTCTCTCGGATACTCCAGGACAAGAGATCATGAAGAGCAATTTCAGGACAGACATTTACACAGAGGATAATTAATAATAATAATAATAATAATAATCCTTGCGTTTGATATAGCACCTTATTACATCATTGAGGATATACTGCAAAGTGGATTGACTCTGTATTTTATGGATGAATTAAGAGTTAGAAGGGTGGTTGAGGCCAGGACGCTGGATTAATTTAAGAAACATCTCGATGCTGTAATGGGAGGAAGATTGGGTGGGCATTGTGGAAGGATGAGACCAAGTGGGCTGAAGGACCTTCTTCTGGAACCGCTCATGTGAATTAAACGATAACTTCCCTCCCCACCCTCCCCCTGGCCTTTAAAAACCCTTTCAACGCCTTTCATTTGCAGACAACCCTGTTGCGATCAACTCGTCCAGACTGATACTTGTTGAGCAAACACTGCAGGGTGCTAAGAATCAGTTGAATAATGGGCTAAAGGTGAAACTGAGGGAACTGGAGCAAGCAGCTGCATCCCAGAAAGACACAATCGCAGCCTTTGACAGAGACATCGAGGACATCCGTGGAGATATTAAAAACCTAGAAGAAATCAGAGATGCTTTCCCCGATGGATGTTTCAACGCCGCAGCCATTGAAAAGCAATAATTTCTTGGCAGACTCTGACCTAACCTGTTCTTTGTATGTTCTACTATGAAAAGATTCCTTTATTTAATCCATTATATTATGTTATCGCCACCTCGCTGGGTTTTTTGTTTACAACTCAGGCACCAGCGACGTAGGAAAAAGGAGACGGCAACTTTCAGCCTCACCAAACGTTTGTTTAATGTATGAATTCGAGGGAGAAAAAGCAGTTGTGTAGGTTAGCCCACATATGTGGAACACTCAGTTTGGTTTGCAGACTCTAAAGCATGGTCATGGGTTTCCACATAATTCAGAAGATTAATTCGCTACTTAATATCATGTGTTATTTATTCTTCATTGTATTATGAAGTCTGACATTGTTCCTTAGCTGAATTAACATTTAGCAGCGTTCACCACCCGAACTGGGGAGCAATGAGATTAAAAAAAACTAACATTATCCTTGCTTCTCAGATCCTCCCTGCTAACAAGTTAAAGTTTGCCCCGTAACCAGGTTTTTGAGGATTTCGAAAGGGCACTTCCCCTTTCAGAAATTCCTGTGCCTCTCTGAGAACCGAATGTAGTACGTGTATATAAGGGGAGTTGGTGTTGCCTTTGTGAGTTGAAATTGATCCTAAATTGGGCTAATTTTTAATTACTGTTGCTACCACATTTGTTTACCAGTAAGATCATGATTTCAATGACACAAGCACGTGTAGAAGCAATCAGACCAGTCTCATTTCAAGCGTTACTAAATATCGATTGATCAATTTCAATCGATCAGTTTCATTGGTTTCACTTACTTACATCAAGTTTCGGTTTCTTGCAAGACGTTCAAATTGTTAAGGCCTTTAGATGGGTGTGGAGATGTCGTGTTCTGTTCTAATAATGGATATCTGATACCCTGGAGTAGAACCCCTTCCCACATTGAATTGGAAATGCATTCAGCATGCTAGTTAATGATAGACTAATATCACCACTGTTAGGATAACTTTGTCAAAAATGTTACATGAGATTACAACAACTTTATACAGCTCCTTTCACACAGGATAATGTCTTTGAGCACTGGGAATCATGTTGGTGTGTGGGGGGTATGCTGTCAAAGAGTTTTTTAGGTGGAATTTAAAGTCAGATTGAGAGAGGGTGAGATGGAGGGGTAGAGGGGAGGGAGGGTGGGTACTTGAGATTAATTCGGAGTCCTGCAGCTCAGTGGTTAGAGCACTCGCTTTGCAAGTGAGAGACCTGAGTTCAATTCCAGGCAGAGGGCCAAACCTTGCGCAAGTTTCCTTACTCCACACAGAGCCTAATAATAATCCCTCCAAAACCAAAAACAATAATAAATTGGTCATTTTCAATCTACGACTGTTTGTGGGACATTGCTGTGCGCAATTGGCTGCCGCGTTCGCCCACAAATATACAGTCAATTCACTTTACAGTGTGTTCTGTGAAGCGCTTTGGGACGTCCTCCCGACATGAAAAGCGCTATATCAAATGCAAGGATTATTATTATTATTATAATGTTTGATGTGCTCTGCATGTGATCACTTCCATTGAGCCATTATGCCTTTGGCCCTCTGTGCCATTGCAATTACACTCAGCCTCATACAAGGGGCATAGAGAACTGGGCCACTCGATTGTTAATCCCATTTTATTTCCAAACAGATGAACTAGTGCAGAGCGCACCCTTATTTTAAAAATGTTCTTGACACACATAAGCCTTGGATACACATTCTCTTCACAAACCATTTACTTAATGAAGCATTGAACGCCCATCCCTGGGTTGAGTTGAGGTGCAAGGAGATGGTAGTGCAAACCTTGCATTTGATATGGTGCCTTTCACATCAGGAAGACGTCTCAAAGCGCTTCACAGGATTTAATCTAAAGAGCAGTGACTGCGTATTTGATAGGCAAATGTGGCAGATAATATCCCACAAAGCAGCCACGAAATCAATGATTTTTACCTGGGGGAAATCATTGGCTAGGATATAGAAGAAATTCCCTTCCCTACATGCGGAGGGGATGCTCATTACCCCATAGTTTTGTGAAACCTGGAGGGTGACAGTGTGTGCGTGTGCGTATGTGTGCTTAGTGTGTCTGTATGCATGTTTATCCATTACATACCTGTACTGTACTTTGTCTGGAAAGGCTACGGTCATATTTTTTCCGCTGAAGTTCTGTTGCTTTTAGAATCAAATCATTTGGACATTTTCCAGTCACAGTTCGTTGTGAGATACTGTGATCGGTACCTGGCAGTTTTGATATCTTAGCTTATTTATTTTGAAATGCACAATTAAGTACTTTACACAATCACTAAACTGGTTTTATTTGTAGGTAAGGGAAGAGTTTTAGATTTGGCAGGTCTGGGAGCTGGTTTTAAAAGAGCGCTGTCTTTACATCGATGGGGTTAGCAGTTATATTTTGCCAAACAAAATTTATCTAAATCTCCCAAGAGCCAAAGAACACTGTTGTCACATTTGGCGATCATACTAACATCTGTATGGAGGCATCTGTGCATGTTGATCCTGGCCAATGCTTATTGCCCAGTGTTAAAGAGGGTTCCCCTTGAAATAATGCCTCGCCACTATGTTAAAAGCATTGACTGTAACTTTACTAATTTTTTGGTATATATAACATAGTTAGAAACATGTCAACACTAAAGTAGAATCAAACGTGTGTATTTTGCACTGCTGATCCTAATTACAATGTGTTTCCACAACAAGAACTGGTGTACTTTATTTAGACGTTTCAGTATTAATACCCATGCTTTCAAAAGACTTCACCATGAAATACTTGAATTTTATTCATCTGCATCTGTTATACTTACCGCTGTGTTTGTAAAAAAAAATTTAGGTATACTATTTCAATAAAGATTTTTTTAAGAAAAAGAGGAAAATACTTATTTTTTATGAGATGAATTCTCTCCCCATTTTCACTAACCTGTGGGGGAGAATTCCACCGTGTTGTACCCCTATCGCCACCCACCCCCAATTCCCCCACCCCTCCCTCTCACCACCATATTTGGCAGGCGGTCATCCTTTTGGCCCCACTCTCTAGAACTCCATCCTGGAGTCCCCTTGACACTCTCCCTCCCTCACCTCATTTAAGATAATAATCCTTGCATTTGATATAGCACCTCATCGCATCGTTGAGACATCTCAAAGCGCTTCACAGAATATATTGTAAAGTGGATTGACAGTGTATTTTGTTGGCGAAACGTAGCAGCCAATTGGGCACAGCAGTGTTCCACAAACAGTCGTGGATTGAATGACCAAATATTTAAAGGGATATTACCCCTAGAAAGCGATCTGCCTATCAACTAACAAACGGGTTCCTACTTACTGCTAGGTAGCTCGAGGCGTATGGAGTAAATAACTTGCCTAAGGTTTCGCCCCACCCGGTAACCGAACTCTCGCTTGCGAGGGGAACGCACTAACCACTATGTAAGGGGACACCACCAAGATTTATTTCAAGACTACCTCCTTTGGTCATCTTTCCTTATCCCACCCTGTTGATTCCCATCCCCAGTTTGGGTGCCCAGCCGGTACTGTTAAGCACTTTTGGACGTCGTATTGACATGAAAGGTGCTATACAAATAGAAATTTGTATTGTATTCACTCTATGAATTAACATTTCAGGGAGTCCAGAGTTTAGAAAGTACTCAAATACAGTCTTGATTCTGAAGTTGATTTTCCTGCAAGTTCTTAATAAGGAATCTCTGGTATATACACATGGGGAAGGTATTGCAAAGCATTTACCAGGAAAACTGCAATGTGGAGTGATTGTATTTTGTAGACAAATATGCCTACATGAAAGGTTATGTACTAGACCCCCGAATGTACACAGAAAACAAAACTCATGTTTGAGGCATGTCTACTTTAATAAGCATAAAAGGAAGCTTCAATGTGCTTTGGTTAGTACATGCAGGTCACTCCAAGGCCTCTGATGGATCAACGGATTTATAGCTGCTTAAAGTGAAATGAACTGTGCTGTCAGCTGTGCGCTGCTGTCATTCTGCGGGTCAATGGGACAGTGAGAGAGCACCCTTTACTGCACGCGCTGCCAACACCCCACTCAGCTCAAATCTAATTGTTCTCCGGGAAACCAAATCGCTTGCACTGACAACTTTGCAAGTCTGACCACATGAGTCACTGGCTTTGCAATCCTGCTGTACGTGCATTCAGTGCCAGCGAGACAAACCAGAGATTTAGCAGACCACAACATTGGGGAGTCGCAGGAATCTAGTCTTATGTCTGAACCCATCCTGGTCCATTTAATACCACATTAACTTTAATTTGCCGCTAATGACACCCAATTGTGATGGCATCTCAATGGTGTTAATTTCACCCGCAGAGCACATATTAAGTAACGTGCTTCTCACTGCATTCCTATCGTCCTTTTGCAACAGTTCAATAATGAGCACAGTAGGTAAGAGCAAAGCATTAAAGACTTTCACATAAGCAACAAAAACAACTGATCCGTACATCCTCCTGACGTGAAAGGCGCAAAATAAATGTAATTTGTTGCTGCCATTTTTTATACTGGCAATGACGAAACAGCCATGATCTAGTAAAATGGTGGAAAAATAATAATAATCCTTGCATTTGATATAGTGCTTTTCATGTCTTCTAGACGTCTCAAAGCGCTTCACAGAATATGCTGTAAAGTGAATTGACTGTATATTTGTGGGCGAAACGCGGCAGCCAATTGCGCACAGCAGTGTCCCACAAACAGTCGTGGATTGAAAATGACCAATTTATTCTTGTTTTTGTTTTTGGAGGGATTATTATCAGGCGTGTTGAGTAAGGAAACTTGCCCAAGGTTTCGCCCTCTGCCTGGAATTGAACCCAGGTGTCTCGCTTGCAAGGCGAGTGCTGTAACCACTGAGCTACAGGAATGGCTTACTCCTCTTCCTATGTTCCTATGCACCAGCCCCCAGGTAGCAGCTCCCACTCCCCACCCCCACACCCCATTATTGTGCTGTTGATTGATTATTATTATGTTTGGATTTACAAAGATGTGAAAATAGTGACCTGCCTGCCACACCCCTGGAGTGGTTACACTAACCCAGCCACCCGGAGCTAAATGTCATTAAAGGGTTGGTGAAGGTTAGACCATGTGGTTGAAATCCGGCTGGTATGTTATGGAAGGTATTGCTTGTAGTTGTTTCGTTTGAGGAGGTCGGAGATGTAGGGAGGTGGCAGGAGTGAATGGATTTGAATATGAGAGTGAGGATCTTGAAGTTCCGGGAGCTAATTACCCTCGGGGTAAGAAAAGACTCAATAATAATTCTTGCATTTGATATAGCGCCTTATCACACCTCCGAGACATCGCAAAGCGCTTCATAGA